ACTATAATGACGTACAGTATCTGAAGTATATCATTAAGTACATTATCTGAAATATCATGTTATACCTGAAGTACCACGATGTACAGTATCTAAAATATCGTGACGTACACAGTATGTGAAATATCATGACGTTCACAGTATGTGAAATATCATGACGTATAGTACCTGAAGTATCATGAAGTGCGGTATCTGAAGTATCATGAAATTAAATGAAGTAAGGTATCTGAAGTATTACGATGTATCTAAAGTATCACGAAATTTTATGAAGCATCTAAAGCATTATAAACTATATTGAAGCATCTGAAGTATCATAAAAATCATGAAGTATCTGAAGTATCGGAAAGTATAAATAAGTATCAATAAATATCTAAGATGCCACGGAGTATTGTGAAGTACCTGGAGTACAATGAGGTATCTGAAGTATTATGAAATAACAGAAAGTATCATGAAGTATCTGAAATATCATAAAGTATCGTGAAGTATCAATAAAATGTCTGAAGAAAAAATGATTAGGCAGAGCCAGAAGCCTGCTTCCCACATTATCTGAATTGTGTCGATGGGAAGTAAGAACACTTGCAATTTTTAAAATGTATTTGTGAGGCATCGTGGTGAAATCAGGCGCTTGTCAAAATAATGAAATCCAAGAAACCGGTATTTTTCCACCAGTTTGGGAATTTTTTTCGATTAAAGAAAATGGTTCAACACCTTTTAGGTCCATTAAAAAATATATTCCTGTGTAAATTTTACTTGAAACGTTGATTAAAGACACAGAAAGGACTCTCTAACAATGGTAATCGGCATGCTTCGGCGGCCATTTTCTCGCCAATTTTACGTCTGGAACCAGGCAACCCGACCATCTTCAATCCCGAAATATCTCGACTTCTATTCAAGATAGATGGATTTTTTTCCCCATTAAATACAAGACAAATGAGGAGGCTATAAGATTATACAAATATCTCCATATGCCGAAAAATTGATTAGCGCCTGATTCCTCCTTGTCATGACACATTTACTCTCATGCAATGTCGCCAGGAAAAAAACAACTATGTCTTTATTTTTTCCTCTCTCTTCAGCCATCAGGAGCTTCGCAGATCCGTGTGATTTCCAGAGATCCCAACTTCTTATCCAGTTACTTGAAGGGGGCGGTCCGCTCGTCCCACCAGGCTCCGCCCACATACAGACAAGCCCCGCTAACATACGCCCAGGCACCGCTAGCCTACTCCCCTCCTGAGTCCGCGTACCCGCTAGCACAGTCCAGATATGCCCAACCCGGGGCTGTGCTACAGAAGAACCTTGTTTTAAGTTAGTAGCCGAGAATCTTGTAATTTCTGTCTGCCTGTCTGCCTGCTTCTATCTCTGTCTGTCTCTCTGTCTGACTGACTCTCTCTCTCTCTCTCTCTCTCTCTCT